AGCGAGGAGGTCAGGAAATTATTCCCTCTGGGGCTCCCGCCGCCAACGGCCGCAGGCAGGTCGGCCCGCGCCCACACGTCGCGCACGCGCACGCGGGCGCCCTCGGCGGCGGCCAGGCCGGGCAGCTCCGGTAGCAAGACGTCCGCGCTGGTGGGCGGGCCGCCTTGTCTGGGTGGGCGGAAGGCATCCCACGAGGGCAGCCCCAGGGGCCTTTGAGGGGGGGGCGGGAAGGGGGGAAGGAGAAGGAGGAGCAGGAGGAGGCGTAGGAGGAGGAGGCGGATGAACATGGGAGGAGGAGAAGGAGGAAAAGAAACAGGAGGAGGAGAAACAGGAGGAGGAGGAGGACCAGTGTAAACCCAAAAGTCATCAACGATGCTGGGATAAACCCTCCCTCCAAGCTCCCTGTTCATAGGCCCCTACGTCGGTTCATTCCCACTGAGGAGACTGCCTCTTTGGAGAACAACCAAATGAAGACCCTGAGTCATGCTAAAACATTGTTCTCGGCATTCCGACGCCTCGGATCAACTTGACAGTTGCGTCTTAACGATCCTAAATTGCGCCAGAACGTCTTTTCTGGGACTTCAACACCGCGAACCAACGTAACTGTTGCACTCTCATAATCCGAAATACTTTCAAAACACCATTTCTGGTACGTTGATCCTGGCATTTGTTGTTCAAAATGTGCGCGGCATTAAAGCGAATGCCACATTTTGAAAACGGCCCGCCCTCATTCCGTGAATCTCTGGCATTTATTGAACGAATGTGCGCGAAGCTAAAGCGATAGCCGCATTTTGAAACCCACCCGCCATCAATCCGTGGAACGCTTGCACGTTTGTTGAACGACTGCACGCGGCACTAACGCGCGAGCCACATTTTGAAAACGACCCGCCCTCAATCCGTGAATCTCTATCAAATGGGTAGACAAATGTGCGCGGCGCTCAGGCGAGAGCCGCATTTTGAAACCGAGCCGCCATCAATCCATGACACACTTGCAAAACATGTTTGAAACGAATGCACGCGGCGCTAGGGAGAGAACCACATGTTGAAAACCGCCCGCCCTCAATCCGTGAAGCTCTTGCAAAGTTTTAGCACCAATGTGCGCGGCGCTCAAGCGAAAGCCACATTTGGAAAGCCACCCGCCTTCCATCTGCGAAACGGTTGCAGATTGTCATGCGTCAGGGTCATACAGTCATACATGGTGGTGAAGTCTCAGGCAAAACGCCTGGCCCGCCCTAGAAGCTGGCCTCGGGCTGCGACGGGGAGAAGTTATTCTCTTGCACAGCTGTGCTCTAGAGCTCGGACCTCTATATTTTCGTTCATCGTCGTCGTTCGTTCGTTCGTTCGTCGGTCATCCTCCCCCCCACGGCCACAAAAAAAAAAAAACTCCTGGAGGCAGGAGGCGAAAGCCTCCTGTCCCTCGCAGCTCCTTGGTGCTAGAGCCAGGGCACGCGTGCCACTTGTTTCTAAGGACAAGGAAGTGGAGCAGGGAGCAGCAGGGAGGAGGGGGAGGAGGAGGAGGAGGAGGAGGAGGAGGAGGAGGAGGAGGAGGAGGAGGAGGAGGGAGGAGGAGGAGGAGGAGGAGGAGGAGGAGGAGGAGGACGAGGCACCACTCTTGGGACCCTGCTTTGGGGCAGGGGGCTCGCGCGCCGAATCCCCCCGGGCCCACCCTCTGCGAGCACGCTCGCGAGGGCGCTCGGGCCCGGTGCGCGGCCGACCGACCTCGAGCCTGCCGAGGCTCCGCGCCCCCGCGTCTGCCGCGGCGTCCTCGCGCCAGCGGCAGGCGGCCGCGCCCACCCTCCGCTTCCCGCGCCTGCACTCGCCATCGCTCGGACGGCCATTCCCTGTGCATTGGTCGGTTTCGTGCGTGCATGTTTTCTACAACGTGCACAGAAACGCTCCTCCATGGCCCTTGCCGGTAAAGAAATGCACACGTCCGAGCGATGCAAGGCCCCCGACGCCGGGAGGCTTCTGGAGTTGGGGGGGGGGCGATGCCACCGACCAGGCCTGCTGCAGCAGCTGGCGGATGGGCGGGCCCTGCTGGCTGCCCCGCTGGCCCGCAGCCGGCGGCTGCTGCAGCGCCGGTCTCCTGCCCTGCACGTCGGGCCGCCCGATCTTCGGCCTTCTCGCCGTGCCTTTCATGTGGGTCTCCCTGTGCGTCCGCCCTCGCTCACGGGTCCGTGCTTCCTCGGCTGCCGCTGCATCCTGTCGATCTTCGGCAGGTATCACTGTTGCGTCTATCACACTCGCTGCTGCAGCCGCAGTCGCCCGGAGTGCAGCCGTGCTGGCTGTATTGGTCTCCTTGCCGCCGCTCGTCATCTCCTCGTCCATCAGGTTGGGGCGCTGTTATGGTGCTGCTTCCCTTTGTGGCTGGGCTGCTGCGGCGGTGGCCTCTTCGTCGCACTGCGCTGGCGTCTTTTCGATCGCTTGCTCTCGCGCAGCGACGCCCTGCTCCTGCGACGAGACAGAATTTGCCACCAGCTGGTGCGCCCCCACCGCCCTGGCGTTGCCGCCTGCGGCGCCGCCTGGCATGGCCTAGGTTCTGTCGGCCCTGCGGATCTGCGCACTGCTTGACCATGCACGTTGGCATATCTCCTCGGCCATGGAGCGATCCCTGCCGCTGCGCTCCTCCTGTGGCAAGTGTTCGGCTGGGATGCGGCCTCCCTGCGCCTGCAACGTGGCGGAGCACGCGCGGCGTGCGCGCTGCGCTCCAGCTCCCCGCCGCTCCCACCGTCTGCGGATAGCCACCGCCCCGCCAAGCCTTCCACTGTGTATGGGAGGCTCCTGGTATTGTTCTGGGCGCTCTCGACTGCAGGGTCAGGCGCTGGGTATTGCATCCAGTAGTTTCACATCACGCACAAGGCCATAGATTGGTTCCCATACTCCTCATCAGTGCAGTTTTGAAGCATGCCCAGGGCGTAACTGCACGAGCATCTGCGCATCTGCATGAGCAGCAAGCCGCAGCAAGCGAGGACATATGCAAACTGGATATGCACCGTCACGAGAGAACCTGCAGTTTTTTCACCCAAGACAAGCAAGCACGTGCCGGAGACCAAGAGCATGCCAGCGACAGCCTGTTTCAGGGAAGGCCGCTCGCTACGGACGCAATCAAAGAGCATGGAAACGAGCGGCTGACTGTTGCGGAGCAGGGTTGCAATGGCTTCTGGCATGCCATATATCGTGTAACAGGATCGGCAGATAGTCGCCAACTAACTCCAGCGCAAGTAGCCCAAGCAAGATGCGACCTCCATAATTCTTAAACATGTCAAACTGCGTTGCTGGACGGACAAGCAAGCACATGACGAGAAACGAGTAAGCCTGGTGAGCTCGAATTCTTGCACGCGTGTCATCGTGCGCCAAGATGTCCTCGTAGACTACGGCTCCAAGCAGAATGCAAAACAGCGCATACAGTTGTTGGGCGGCATTCATTGGGCCAGACGAGAAATGTTAGTTCTTTACCCAGCACTGCGTTGGTGGGCAATACGCTCCTAGAACTCAGAACAACTGACAGGCTTGAGCCAAAATGGCTGCGGTGCCATCGACCGCTCCACCTGTTCCTGCCTGCACACGTGCACTCCCCAACAAAAGCCTTCCGCGTTTCTTCCTCTGTCTGGCTAGGGCTGTGCGCTTGCGATGCGTGCCTCTTCGTCGCCGCCGTCCTATCGCTGCGTCGCACCCTAATTCTTCATGACGTCGGCCTGGGTCAGCTCGAGGTTGTGGAGCGTCGTTGTATAGGCGACTGCCTCTCTGACTGCTGGGTGGGACGACGGGGGGCCGAATTGCTAGAGATGAGCAGCTTGTCGGGCTTGCATCTGGAGATGATAGTCTTTCAACTCGTCACAATCTGGTGCCTGACAGTGATACGCGGTTGGAGAAGGATGATGAACAGAAAGGCGGAGGAGGAGGAGGAGGAGGAGGAGGAGGAGGAGCAGAGAAGGAAAAGGGGAGGCTGCAATCGGCGCCGGACGCCAATTCACTATCGATTACACCTCCTCCTCCTCCTCCTCCTCCTCCACCTCCTCCTTCTCCTCCTGCTCCTCATCATCATCATCCTCCTTCTTTCTCCTCCTCCTCCTCCTCCTCTTCCTCCTCCTCCTCCTCCTCCTCCACCTCCTCCTTCTCCTCCTCCTCCTCCTCCTCCTCCTCCTCCCTGGACGTCTCCAGGGGGCCCCAGGGGTCTCCGAAATCAGTTCGAGGCCTCGGGAGGCCCAGGCAGGTTCATAACCACCCCAAGAGCCTCGATCCTCGAACCTCGACCCTCCTCCTGCGTACACTTCCGCCTCCTCCTCCTCCTCCTCCTCCTCCTCCTCGTCCTCCTCCTCCTCGTCCTGCTCCTCCTGCTCCTCCCTCCCTCCCTCCCTCCCTCCGTCCCTTCCTCCCGTCGTTTTGATGGCGCCGCGGCGCGCCGGGAGCGGCGCGGTTGAGCACGACGGCGGCCGCGGCGCCACCGGGCAGCGGCTTGGACCACAGCTGCATCGGGCCGAAGGGCGTAGGGATCCCAGGCCTGCGGCGGGCTCCCCTGTTCACGGTCCCCCGCCCCGTCCTCCTGCTGCTCTGCTCCCCTTTGCGCCTCCTACTCCCTCGCATTCTCCTTCTCCTTCTTTCTCTTCCTCCTCCTCGTCCTCATCCCCTCGTCTCCTTTTCATCCTCCTCCTCCTCCTTCCCTCCCCCTCCCCCTCCCCCTCCCCTCCTCCTCCTCCTCCTCCCTCCTCCTCCTCCTCCTCCTCCCTGCCCTCTTCCTCCTCCCCTCCTCCTCCTCCTCCTTCCCCTCCTCCTCCTCCTCCTCCTCCTCCTCCTCCTCCTCCTCCTCCTCCTCCTCCTTCCTCTTCATCCTTCCCCCTCCCCCTCCTCCTCCCTCCTCAACCTCCTCATCTCTGCTCTTTGGTCATCCTTCTGTCCGCCCGCCTGGCGGCCGCGCAGAAAGGCCCGACTCGCAGGGCGCCGTCCGCGCCGAGGCTGAAGCTCTGCTCCGCGGGCGGCTCGCTGTCGGGCGGGCAGCGCTCCTGACGGGGCAGGGCGCGACCCTCTTGCGCCGCAGGGGAGGACTCTCGGCGCGTGCTGCCCGGATCGGGCGTTGACAGGACTGGGTTTACTGGGACCGGTTGGGAGGAAGGGGTTGGGAGGATGAAGGGCACGAGCAACAGCATCCCGATTCAATGAACGATACCTTCGGCCGCCTATGGGTAAGAGTATCGCCATCTCTCCCGACCTCGTCCTCCCAGCCCGATAAACTTCTTCCTGCGCCTGGGACGCCAGCCCCTGCCCCACTGACAGGAACGGCCGCCACCCGAAAGAGCACCAGCTGCGGCAGACTTGGTTCAGCGATTCTGGTCCATGGTTTGGGCTTCGGGGCCAATCACGAACTGGCGCCTCTTTGCCCAGCGTCCTTGCTATCTGCGACCAGAGAGGGGCTGAGACGGGGGAGAGGGAGGAAGCAAAGGAAGGGGGGAGGGAGGAGGGAGGAAGGAGGGGAGAGGAGGGAGGGAGGGAAGGAGGCAGGGAGGAGGGGCGAGGAGAGAGGGCAGGCAGGGAGGCGGGGAGGCAGGGAGGGAGCAAGGGCCGGGCGGAGGCAGGGGGGGAGCGTAGCCGCCCTGGCTCGAGTGGGAACTCGGCCCCCGCTCGAGCCGAAATGATGTCCGCAGTCAGCTTGGCTCGGGCATTCGTGTGAGGCCCGCTCTCGGCGCGAGGTCCCGATGGGCGCACAGGGGCTGCTGGCGCCGCGAGGAGGTGGCGCTGGTCGGGGCGACGCAGCCGCCTGCGCGGCCGCTCCGCCGACAGGTTCTGCTGGGAGGCGCGCGCCCTGCGGCCTTGCTTCAAGGAGTTTCCGGCCCTGGGCCGAGGAGTCGGTGCTGGTGCCATCATGGAGCCTCCCCGTGTTCCTCTGGTACTCGGAAGTGCTCTCTGTGGCATCCCAGCGCTTCAGGCTCATCCGGGCACCTCGTGGTGCAGGCGTGCTCGCTTCATGGCCAGCGGTTGGCAGCTTCCATGTTGGTTCTGGGGCATCACGAGGCTGCTCGCCGCAGGATTCATGTACCAGCAATTCTGCACCCGCTGATGCCTGCATCCCAGGCCATCGGGATGGATTTGTGCTGACGGGACTGCAGGGGTGGGCTTCATCGTGACTAGCTGCAGGTTGGGCATGCCAAATGAAAAAATAGTCAAAGAAAGAATCAACAAAACATGAGAAACATCCGCCGACACTGTCGGCGTGTGTGAGGGGCTTGTCCGTTCAAGTCGTCATCTCCGTCATTCGTTGGTCGTCGTCTCTGTCGTCCCGTTTCCCTGCCTCCCCCTTTCCCTGGGCTCGTCGAAGCTCCCCCCTTTTCCAGGGACCTCCTCAGCGCGCCAACCAAAGCGAAGTTGAGCAATGTCGTAATTGAGTCGAAGGGAAGCCCCTTCCCTCCGATCCCTTCCCCGCCCGGGGGGGGGGTCCCGGGGGGGGTCAGATACCCCGGGGAGTCCCGGAGCCCAACAAAGCCCCAAGACGAACCAAGAGTGCCCCAAGTGGCCCCAAAGACAGTCCGAGAGAACCTCGAATCGCCGAACGATCTGTCCAAGACGCCTTAACGGCATCCAGACGGTCCAAGAGGCCTGCAAAGCGCCCCAAGAGGCCTCCACGAGCTTTCCCACGAGAGCCCCAAGAGGCAAAATTCAAAGATTCCCCATACGTTTTTGACAGATTTTAGTGTTCTTGCCTCTTCCACTTCCCGACGCGCCAAGACGGCCCACGAAGCCCCCAAGATCGCTCGCCCCGAGACGGCCCAAGAGGCCCCCAAGAGGGTCCACTAACGGCCGAAGAGGGCCCCCAGACGGCCCAAGACGTCCCCAAGACGGCCCAAGAGGCCCCCAAGATTGCCCCAAGACAGCCCAGGGTAGCCCCAAATTGCCCAGGAGGCCTCCAAGAGTGCCTCGAGACGGCGCAAGAGGAGCCCTGGACGGCCCAAGACGGCCTGAAGAGAGCCCCAGGATGTCCCAAGAAAGCCTCTGGCCTCCTCCTCTTCCTCCTCCTCCTCCTCCTCCTCCTCCTCCTCCTCCTTCTCCTCCTCCTCCTCCACCCCTCTGCTCCCCCTCCTCCTGCTCTCCTCTGCATCCTTCTCCTCCTCTTGCTTCTCCTCCACATCATTCTCCCCCCTCCTCCTCCCTCATCCACCTCCCCCACCCTTCCTCCACCTCCCACTCATCCTCCTCCCCCTGCCCCCACTCGTTTTCATCTTCGTCGTTCTCAGGGTCGGCGGCACAGGCCGTAAGGCCTTCGCAATAGTCAAAGAAATAATCAACAAAACATGATAATCATTTTATAATTCGCCTGCCCAACGGGCCAGAGGCGTGCTAAGATCTATGGCAACAGCTTTAGAATAGTTCTACTTCGCGCGCGCGGGGGGGCCCATGGGGATCCCCGGACGAACAGTACACGGACGGACACCTGGCAGACTCCGGGTCAGAGTTGGCGGAACTCCTGGTCGCGAGTCTGGCGGCTCCCGGATCGCTCCAGGAGCGCCACAAAGAGATTCCAGAGGGCTTCGAGTCGCACGCAGAGCGCTCCCAGATGTTCAGGATGGCCTCCAGACGGCCCCACAGGCCTCCACAATGTCAAAGACGCCTCCAAAACGCTTCCGAAGAGAGCCCCAAGAGGCAAGAATCGTTCCATTCCCTGCGAAAAACGTAAAACATATATTTTTACCTGATTCGCCTCCTCAGCCTTCGCAGCGTCCAAGACGGCCCCAGGGGCTCCAAAGATCGCCCCAAGACAGCCGAAGAGGCCCCCAAGAAGGTTCCAAGACAGCCCGAGAGAGCCTCAATTCTTCCTGTCGAGGGGCATGCACTGTGTGCCGCTGGTGGGAGTTTTCGCCCCCTGGTCGCGGCTGTTCGCCTTCGCCGGGCTGCGTTTGGAGCGAGTGGGCTCGCGGTCCACCATTGCTGTCGTGGGCATCCAACCCGGCAGCGGTGTCCGTGTGTGTGTGTGTGTTATCGAGCTTGGGCTAAGACTCGTGGCAATTCTGTGAGCCGCGTGAGGGTAATTATTGGACGTGGCCGGCTTGGCAGCAGCATCGTGCCTGTATGTGGCGTCAGGGTAACTGCGGCGCGCTGGACCTCCTCCATGTACGTCTTCAGAGTCTTTACTATCGTTGACTTTGGTTGGCGCCGTCCCTCCGTATGATGTTCGGACGTTGGGAAAGGAAGTGCGAGCCAGTTAGGGAGGGGGGAGCAGGGAGGGAGGGAAAAGGGGAGGAGGGAGGGAGGGACGAACTGGACGGGAGGGGGAAACAAGCATACAGCAAATACACACAAGAGGAGGTTCTGTCATAATCAATGTGAGAGCACACGTGCTGTCAGTCGTTCGACTTCCTAAGGTGCCGATGTCTTCTGTGGGTGGGTCCCCAAGGCCACTGGGGTATACGACACGTCCATTGAGCACCTGCCAGCGGCGTGGTTCGTTATGTCATGTACCTACCGTAGACAATCAAGGTGCACGATAACGGTAAGGTAAACGATGCAACGCCAAGTACGCGCTCAAGCATAGAATAGCTACGTCTCGTCATCACCATCATCGTCGTCATCCCCATCATCATCCACTCAGGAGGAGGGGTATGAGAAGGACGCGGACAAGGAGGCGGAAGAACGGGGCATCTTGAGCATCAAAACTTCCATTGCAACACCAAAAAACAAAGTGTGAGACCTGGGGGGCATTTCGAAAAAAAGGGCAACGGTGGAGGAGTTCAACCTCGTTCTTCAGAAGTGAGAGCTCAGAGCTCAACACCAAGAGCACGAAGCAAAACTCCCCCTTCTCCTCCTCCTCCTCCTCCTCCTCCTCCTCCTCCCCCTCCTCCTCCTCCTCCTCCTCCTCCTCCTCCTCCTCCTCATCATCATCATCATCCTCATCCTCCTCCTCATCCTCCTTCTCCTCCTCCTCCTCCTCATCATCATCATCTACTCTCTCCTCCTCCTCCTCCTCCTCCTCCTCATCATCATCATCATCATCATCATCATCATCATCATCATCATCATCATCATCATCATCATCATCATCATCATCATCATCATCATCATCATCATCATCGTCATCATCATCATCATCATTCTCATCCTCCTCCTCTTCTTTCTCCTCCTCCTCCTCCTCCTCCTCCTCCTCCTCCTTTCCTCCTCATGCCCCCCGTGCCCCAAGGGTGCGTGATGGCACGACCAGCTGCGTTCGCCAAAGCCCGAAGGTCCGCGCCCTCGAGGCCGAAGGCGGGGCCCTCCAGGCCGCTCCAGGCGCCGGCGCCTGACGAGGGACACATCCGTTCGTCGTTTTGCCAGCGTCGTCGGCGAGGGAGCGCAAGGAGGGTGAGCGGGGAGGGGGAGGGGGAGGAAGACGATGAAGGTAGGGAAACAAACCCTATACACCAACGCTTTTGTTCCGACCCTGCGCTGACACTTGCACAGGGAAGCGGATCCTGGTGAATACGGGATCCTGGAATATACATGTTTCGCTGTTTCCCCGGGAAAATGACGGAAAAGAATACACCACACAACCCCGACGTCGTCCCCGACCCTCAAAAAGTCCTGGGATTCAAAAACAGCCCGCCACTGGTAATGTATATGCTCCAGTGTCCGGAAAGTGGGGATGCGGAGCGAGAGGAGGAGGATCAGTGTAAACCCTCCCTCGGAGCTCCCTCTGCATAGGTCCCTACACGGATTCGTTCTCACTGAGGGAGGTATCCCGTTGGAATACAGCCGACTGAAAATCCCGAAACGTGCCAGAACACCATTCCTGGGACTTTTTCGCCGCGATTAATCGCTACTGTTGCGCCATGACGAACCTGAATCGCACCAGAGCGCCACTACTGGGACTTCAACACCGCGAATAAACATAACCGTAAAGCCCTGAAAGTTCGACACTGTGTCAAAACACAGTTTTGGGGACGTCAACTACAAGAATGCTTGAAAAATGCTGTGGGCTCTTAAGGGATACGCGCGGCGCTAAGGCGAGAACCACATTTTGAAAAGGCACCGCCCTCCATCC